GGGGAAAGAGTCAGAAGTTTCATGGTGTCATATCCAATGATTTAGGTTGATGAGGATATACTGTAATGTTTTTACAGAGACAGGAAATGTTTTAAGAGGATTCATGTGCATGTAACAACTCTCCACAATTAATATAGTCATTATATGTCACAAACATGAACTAGCATAATAAATTAATAACAATAATAATAATAATGTGGGAAGAGGATCTAGAGAGAGATGGGAAAAGAGGATAGTGGATAAGCAAGAGTAAACAAAATTATTCAAGATATATTAATGTATTTACTGCCTAAAATGAATGTAGACATCATGTAGAACATGCAAATATTGATAAAACAAACAAAATATTTAAAATGTATTATTTAAGAATGCAAATAGCAAAATTACAGTGCCAAATAATGTTCTCAATATAGAGATGCTGACATTATACAGTAATAATATTTCTGCCTGAAGAATAATAGGAGGAGCTCGTGACTTAGCTCAGTGGTTCTGCCGCCTGCCTCTCAAGGGCAAGGGCCTGAGTTTGATCCCTGGTACAAAAATAAAAAAGAATAATAGGGTAAACCACCAGCCAACATCATACTGATTGTTTGAGAATATTGATTCTTCATTGAAATTTGGAAATATCTAATTGAGGATGCTCCATCTTTCTTTCCTCTTAGTACATTTTGTTCCACACATCCTGTCCCTTTTATAATGAAGTGTATCAGGTGTTCTGGTCTTGTCCTTAATATAAAAATGTAAATAAAGATTCTTTAGTAATCAGGGCCCTCTATGGCCTGTGTGTCATTGTTCAACAGGTGGGACTGCCTGCCTGCCCCCCCATCAGCAGGGCTCACAGCAAGAACAACAGCCAGATCAAGAGGATGACAGAGAGAAGAAAGACCAAAGTTCTAAGCTCAGGAAGATTGCAGAGTGGTGAGTAGTAGGGAGTGGGCCTCTCTGAGGCTTGTGGTTGAGAACTGAAGCCCACTGGAAGAGCAAAGATAGCCACTATAACAAAGATCCAGTGGTCTACACTGATTGGTGAGTGGAGATCAGCCCCTGGTAGCCGAACCCAGACTTGCTGTGGGGGAGGGTCACACTGAACCACAGCAGAACCCGGCAGTATTCAAACCCACACAAGGTCAGGGAGCTCCATTCTGGCCTTAAAATCATAAACCATCCTGAATCTCAGTGCACCACAGCTGCTGGCCAAGAACAACTGACTCAGACCTGCACACTGCTGCCCAGATTGTCTCCAGTGACAGCAGAGACATTCCTTGAGGAGAACTTTTTTTTTCATTTCTTTTTTCTTCGTTTATTCCTCTTTTTCAGTTCTCTCCATTTTTGTTCCTGTTTTTCTTTTTTTTTTTTGATTGCTCCTTTCTATAACAGCACAAATGCAGTTTCTAATTCTCCTGTTACCATTAGTTTGTTCTTTTCTTTCTTTTGTTTGATAATTATCTCTTTTTCTCCCACCTGCAGAAGTTTCTCAGTTTATAGGATCTTCCTGTGTCCTCTAGCTAAATTTGTAAGCTTTCCCTCTCCTTCTATTTCTCTACCCACCAACTCTTTCTTAGTCTTCTTCGTGGAAGGTAAATTCACTATACCAAAGGGCTTATTTACTGCATATATATTTCTGACTGGTCTTAGATTTTGATATATATCTTCAAGTCAAGTTCAAAAGTAGAGGGCGACAGATAGTTACCAAATGTTTTCATTGTCTAAACTATCTTTTTTTGTACCTGGGATCAAACTCAGAACTTTGTGCTTGCAAGGCAGGCAGTGGAACCACTGAGCTAAACCCCTGGCCCTCTAAGTGATCTTTGATGCTATCATTGATGCTGATTGTATTACTTTGTCCAAGGTGATCTAGTCAGTTGTCTTCCTGGTATACTGAGACAAATATTGCCTAAGGTCATTACTGACTCAAAACCCCAGGACAAGCTATACCTGGATGCCACCATTCAGAAGTAATTATTCCATATAGTTTCTAAACACTGGCAATAAAGACACTTCCAGTGAACAATATACAAATATCTTACCAGGAATTAAAAACTTAACAACAACAACAAAAAGCAACAACAAATAAAACTGAGAAGACACCTAAACAAGATTCAAATCTAGCCTTCCAGATCACCAAAATCAAACCCAAGGGGCAAATGAATCAAACAATCCAAAGGTCAACCCCCTATTCTCTCTGAACTAGTAAGAAGGGAGGTAATGAAAGAGGACTTGGAAAAGAAGAAATAAGAAATAATTTCTCAGATAACAAGAGAGATGGTGACCAAAATGAAAGAAATGATTAACAGCTCTTGACCAGATAGTTAAAAAATTAGAAGAGCTGAGAAAAATGATGGAATTCTTGAATATCCAAAATAAGAAAGAATTAGAAAACATAAAACTCATTCAAGAAGATATCAAAGAAATTAAAAATACCATTGAATGTTTCCACAGCAGAATAAATGAATATGAGAGCAGAACTTCAGAGCAAGAAGGCAGGATGGTGGTTAGCAAACATTAAAAGAAAAATTTCTTAAAAACTGGCAGGGACCACAAGAAATCAGTCCAACAGCTACTATAAGATGCAAAAAAAAAAGAATTAATTATGATTGATGGGAGTCAGTGAAGGAGTAGGAGTTAGAGCAAAAGATATAAATTATTTTCACAGAAATAATTCCAAAAATCTTCTCAAACAGGGAAAAATAAATTGACATGAACATAAGTCAGGCATGTAGAATTCCAATTAACAGGGGATTTAGCTCAGTGGCACACACCTGCCTCACAAGTCCATAGTCTTGAGTTAAATTCCTAGTGCAAAAAAATAATCTAAATAGCTGTGACCAAAAATATCTACACCTAGGCATATAATAGCTTAGATTCCAGAAATCCAACCAAAGACAAATATTAAAAGCAGCTGGAGAAAATAAATATATCACATACAATGAAAGCTCATTAGAATCATAGCAGACTCCTCAACATGAGTGCCGAAGTAAAGGAAATTTTGCAATGACATACTTTCACCCCTAAAAGAAAACATCTTCCAATGTAGATTGATGTATCCTGCAAAACTCCCTTTCAAAATCAATGGAGAAATAAGATGATTTCATGACAAGGGACACCTGAGGAACTTTGTGAATACAAAACCACAACTCAAAAATTTTTAAACAATATCCTAGGAAAAGATAATGATGGTCACAGCTCCATGCAGACCAACAGAATTAATCTCTCAGGCAAGGCAAGACATTATTTGTAATGTGTATGTGTGTTGAGGGGGCTGAACAAGAGAAAAAAGATCATGACAAGGATAAGTCACTACATATCAATGTTAATGGTCTCAATTCACCAAGCAAAGAAAATATGCTGGCAGAAAAGATCCAAAGGAAAGACATAACAATATGCTGTATACAATAAACACACTTAATTCAAAATAAATTCCAAAGAAAAAAGGTGGAAAAAATATTTCATGTAACAGCAATTCCACCAAAAAGCATAAGTATCTATCTTATTTGCAGCCAAAGTAGCTTTCAAACCAAGATTAAATAAGAGTGATAAAGAACTTCACTACATACTTGTAAAGGGAAAAATGCAAGAGGGAGAGATGACAATCATAAATATATGCCTACAAAATATGATGTGTGCATAACTATATAAAACAAATGTTAATGGAAATGAAAAATCAAATAAGCATTGAGACAATTGTAATGGAGTGTTGTTGTCCATGAGCCTGCTCATAGAACAAGATTTGGGAGCTTGGACTGGGAGTGTAAAGTATGGAATCACCAGGCAGACTGTGGAGAGGTTTCTGGAATGCTTCTGCTTTATACAGGAAATGCACAAGCTTATATAGGGGACCATCAGGGAGGAGCATGGGAGGAACAGTTAAAATTTGATGATATCTTATTGGCCAGACATGGCAGAGTGATTTTTCTTGGGTGAGGCAAAGGAGTCACAGACTAGGAGTGGAGGTGTAGCCTGCTGGACCCAGAATCTATGCACTTAGGTGAGTTAGCTCAGCCTTAGCAAGGTCTCTGAGTTATCTCAGGAGACAGGAGTGCAGCACACCTGGCTTGAACACCTCCTACAGTGTGGGATCTCAATATTCCACTGTCACAAATAGTTGAATAAAGTAAATAAAAAGCAACAGCAATGATATTCTCAAACTCCATGAAACTCTTGAACAAATGGACTTGAAAGATACTTACAGACACTCATACACAACAAAATTAGAATATACATTCTCAGTTACAAATGGGTCATTCTCCAAATTAGTCCACATAATATCTCATAAAATGAATTCAAAGGAATTGAAGTTATCTCTTGTAAGTGACCAGATAATAGTGCGAAGAAATTGGAGAGCAGTGCAGAAGAACACCCAAGTACTTCATACACATGGAAAATTAATAAAACCATCAAAAGCAACCAGTGAGTCAGGAAGAAATGAAAGAAGTTAGACAGTTTCTATAATTTAATGACAATGTCAGTGCAACATACCAAAGTTTATGGGGCACCAGGAAAGCAACAATATAAGGGAAATTAATAGCACTGTAAGCCCATATTAAGAAACAGAGTGGGACATCCCCGACTGCAAGCCACCAGATCCAGTAAGGAAGAAGGCCCCAGAGGAAGTCTCTCCAGGTATGTGCTCAGTCCCACCCGGAGGGTCTGTGACCTCCCCAACTGTGTGCCACCAGATCGAGTAAGGAAGAAGGCCCTCAGAGGAAGTCTCTCTGGCCACTTGCTTGGGCCCAGCCAGTGGGTCCACGACCACCCCAACTGGGTGCAACCAGAACCAGTAAGGCAGAAGGCCCCCAGAGGAGGTCTCTCTGGCCATATGATCAGGCCAACCCAGTGGGTCCGTGACTTCCCCAACTTTGTGCCACCAGATCCAGTAAGGAAGAAGGCCCCCAGAGGACGTCTCTCTGGATGCCTGCTGGGGCTCACCCGGTGGTTCCACGACCTCCCTGAGTGTGCACTACCTGATCCAGTAAGGAAGAAGCGCCCTGGAGCATGTCACTATGGCCACCTCCTCAGGCCCATTCTGCGGGTCCATGATCTTGCCAAATGAGCACCACCAGATCCAGTAAGCAATAAGGCCCCTGGAGGAGGTCTCTCTGGGAGCCTGCTCGGGCCCATGTGGCAGGTCCTGAACCTCCTAGACTGAGCACCACCAGATCCAGTAAGGAGAAGGCCCCCAGAGAACGTCTCTCCAGCTTCCTGCTCTGGCCCAACAGTGGGTCCACAACCTCCCCCACTGCGTGCCACCAGATCCAGTATGGAACAAGGCCCCCAGAGGAGGTCTCTCTGGCAGCATGCTTGGCTTGTCCACTACCTCCCCAACTGCCCGCCACCAGATCCAGTTAGCAAGGTAGCTGCGTGGATGGCCTTTAAACACCCCCATGACTGGCTCCCCTCCGTTCTCAAACCTCCTGATTGGGCCAACACTTGGACCCACTCTGCAGAGGCATAGCTGGTCATGAAGTGTATTTTTCTGACCTCCCAACTTTGAACATCTTTAAAGAAAGGGCAGGGGAAATCTGTAATAGACCTGAGATGAGTTCAACCCTGTGGATTGGGAAAATCAATTTAGGCTTTGTTGACTGAGGACAGTCTGTGTCGTGGTGACCTGCCATTGGCTTGCTGAGATCAGGGGATTTGGTTCTACAAATGGCTGTACACATGGTATAATATGACAATAGAGACCTAGTCTGAAAGAGGCCATTCAAATTCTTTTTTTATTCTTTTCCTTTCCTTATTCCACCCTACAATTTCTTTCTTTTTTCTGTCCTCTCTCTCCAACACAGTCTCTTGCTCCAGCATATGATCCCTCATCTCCTTTTTTATTCCTGCTCCTGCCCTATCTCAGACTTCTTTTTTTATTATTTTTTCTTTATGTTCTTTTCTCCTGTCATTTTACCTCATTTATGGCTCCATTCAAGAGAAGGGGAGCCCCAGTTACTATTAAGGAGATATATTCTTGTCCTTATTCGTGCACTCTGTCTATCCCCTTTGAAGTTAATAGTTTCATAAAGATAGTATGGTCATTCTATGTACTCCAGCTTCACTTGAAATTTTCTCCAATTCTTTCACTTATCTACTCCTCTAGTCCTAACTCATTTTAAGCCCCCATCCTAAATGGTAAAGATGCTATTTTGAAAAGCATTTTAACTACAGATATATTTTGGGCTTCTTCTTGATATTTATTTAATTCACATGGTTTAAATGTGATAGATTAATGACTACTACAAGTGGTCATTTTGCCAGCTGTGCTTGATCCTATTGGGCTGCTGAATGTATCAATTGGGATAATGGATTGTGATTGATTTAATGAGTTGTTTTCACTGATATTATGGAAATGAGGATGTCTATGATTCATTAGAGACTCAAAAGCTAAAACACAACTATATCGGGAAGATTTGAGTAATAATCCAGAAATTAAAACAAAGACAACCCAACAACAAAAATAAAAATGAGAAAACACTTAATCAAGACACAAAGACAGACTTCCAGTACACCAATAGCAAACAGTACAGCAAATGAGGATGAAAAGTCTGATAGTGAACCAGCAGGACACCCTGGACCAATAGCACAGGAGGTAACAAAACAGACCAATCAGGCTCTAGAAAAATTCAAATCAGAAATAATTTCCCAATTTACCATTGAGACGGTGAACAAAATGGAAGTCATGATTTGAGACTCTAAAGCAGAAACTGACAAAAAAAAAATAGGTGAGCTCAAGACTGTGATAGAAGCCATGAAGACTCGGCATAAGAAAGAAATGGAAATAATGAATGCCCAACTCAGAGGAAAGAAATGGAATCCATAAAACAGATTGAAACAGATATACAGAAGATTAAAAATTCTATTGAAAGTGTATACAACAGAATGAAAGATTGTGAAGATATAATTTCAGATATAGAAGATAGAACTGCAGTCATTAACCCTGAAAAGAGAGGTCCCTCAAAAATAGTAAGGGATCATGAGAAATCAATCCACCAACTTCTAGACGATGTAAAGAAAAACAACATAAGACTGATAGGAATCCATGAAATAGCAAGAGAAAACACAAATGACTTAAACAAACTCTTTACAGAATTAATGACAGAAAACTTCCCCAAAAGAAGGAAAGAATTATACATACAGATAATTGAGACATATAGAACTCTAACTAGCCATGATAAAAAATTCTATACCTAGTCATATAATAATCAAGATCCCAGAAATCCAACAGAAGAACAAAATACTACAAGCAGTAAGAGAAAAGAAACAAGAAACATGCAAATGAAAACCCATTAGAATCACAGCAGACTTTGAAATACAAACCCTCAGGTCAAGGAGAGCCTGGAGTGAGGTATTTCAATTCCTAAAAGACAACAACCTCCAACCTATATTGATGTATCCTGCAAAACTCTCTTTAAAAATAGAAAGGGAAATAAGATACTTCCAAGACAAAGAACACCTGAGGAACTTCATGAACACCAAACCAGAACTACAAGGAATTCTCAACAATATCCTAGAAAAGGACAATGAAGGTCACAATACCATGAGGTCCAACAGATCAAATGAGATAGCAAGGAAAGAAACTAAAAGGAGAGGGGACAAAAAGTAAAAAGAGTCAAGAAACGGAGAGTAACATGATAATGATGTCAGAACAAATCAGTTATAACCATCAATGTTAATGGCCTCAATTCACTAATCAAGAGAAATAGACTGGCAGAATGGATTAAGAAGCAAAATCCAACAATATGTTGTATAGAAGAAACACACCTAGTGCAAAAGTAAGCCCATAGACTGAAAGTGAAAGGATGGAAAACAGTTCTCCACACATCAGGAGCCCAGAAAAAAGCAGCAGTAGCAATCTTATTCACAGACAAAGTAATTTTCAGATCAAAACTCATTAAGAAAGACAAAGAAGGACACTACATCCTTGTAAAGGGAACAATTCAAGAGGAATAGATGACAATTATAAACATATATGCACCAAATATTAATGCCCCCAACTATATAACACAAATATTAAGTGACATGAAAAACCAAATAAGCAATAATACAATTCTAGTGGGGCATTTAAATACCCCACTATCAAAAATTGACAGATCATCTAGGCAGAAAATCAACAATGAAATAATAGAACTCAATTAAGCTTTTGAACACATGGACTTAATAGATATCTGCAGAGTATTCCACCCCACAAAATCAGAATATACATTCTTTTCGGCTGCACATGGATCATTCTTCAAGATAGACTAAATATTGACTCAGAGAACAGGTCTAAATAAATGCAAAATAATTGAAGTCATCCCCTCTATGTTATCAGATCATAGTGCAAACAAGCTGGAAATCAATAGCAGAAGAAACTGTAGGAACTTCACAAGCACATAGAAACTGAGTAACACTCTGCTAAACAATCAATTGATTACAGAGGAAATTAAAGAAGAAATTAGACAGTTTTTACAAATAAACGAAAATGCCAATACAACATAAAGGAGTCTATGGAACATAATGAAATCAGTTCTATGGTGGAAAATTCATAACATTGAATGCCTACACTAGGAAAACAGAGCAGGCTCAAATAAACAACGTAATGATGAATCTTAGACTCCTAGAAAAACAACAGCAAGAAAAACCCAAAGCTCGAACAAGAGAGAAAATTATAAAGATTAGAGCAGAAATCAATGCAATGGAAACTAAGAAAACAATACAAAAAATAAATGAAACAAAGAGCTGTTTTTTTGAAACAATAAATAAAATTGACAAAGCTGTAGCTAATCTTATCAAAAAAAGAAAGAAAGAAAGAAAGAGAAGGCTCATATCCATGCAATCAGGAATGAAAAAGGCGAAGTCACTACAGATCCAACAGAAATCCAGAGGATCATGAATACCTAGTATGAGAATCTGTACTCCAATAAAATGGAAAACACAGAAGAAATGGACAGATCTTTAGATACTTATGAACTACGAAAATTGATACTTATGAACTATGAAAGTTGAACAAAGAAGATAAAAACATTATAAACACCCCAATTACAGTCAGTGAAATTCAAAATGTAATTAAAAATTTACCAACAAAGGAAAGCCCAGGCCGTGGTGGATTTACTGATGAATTTTACAAGACATTTAGAGAAGAACTACAGCCATTACTCTTCAAACTTTTCAATGAAACTGAAAGGGAAGCTATACTTCCAAATTCATTCCTGGAAGCAAGTATCACTTTGATTCACAAATCAGAGAAATACGTAACTAAAAAACGGAACTACAGGCCAATCTCCTTAATGAATATAGATGCAAAAATCCTTAATAAGATACTAGCAAACAGAATACAGAGGATTATCAAGAAGATCATCCATCCTGACCAAGTCAGATTTATTTCAGAGATGCAAGGGTGGTTCAACATATGTAAGTCAATAAATGTTATACATTTTATTAACAAAGTAAAGGACAAAAACCATATGATCCTCTCAATAGAGGCAGAAAAAGCATTTGACAAAATTCAACACCCATTCGTGTTAAAACCCCTGCAAAAATTGGAATAGATGGTCTATATCTCAACTTAATAAAGGCTATCTATGAAAAACCAAAAGCCAACATCTTATTAAATGGCCAAAAACTGAAAACCTTCACGTTAAAATTGGGACCAAGACAAGGATGCCCACTATCACCATTCCTCTTCAATATAGTTCTGGAAACATCAGCCACAGCAATTAAACAAGAGAAAGAAATCAAAGCAATAAAGATAGGAAAGGAAGAAGTTAAACTGTCATTATTTGCTGATGATATGATACTGTGCATAGAAGACCCAAAAAACTCCACCAAAAGACTTATAGACTTAATTGACAGATTCAGTAGAGCATCTGGATACAAGGTCAACACCCAAAAATCCATAGCCTTCTTGTACACAAATAACAGACTCACTGAAAGAGAAATTAGGTAAACAATTCCCTTCACAATAGCTTCCAACATAGTGATGTATCTAGGAATCAATCTAACAAAAGAAGCAAAAGATCTCTGCACTGAAAAAAATATAACTCTGAAGAAAGAAATTGAAGAGGATATTAAAAAATTGAAAGATATCCCCTGCTCCTG